TCCCCTCGGGCGCCTCCATGCCCGTTTTCCCCCTCTCCGCCTCGCCGAACAGCTGACTCGTAGTAAAGGCAGATACGTTCAGAACACGTTTTGGAGCAGGATCTCTCTCGCAGGGAAATGTCAGGACCTGAGCAGAAGGAAGTCTCCCCCAGCGCCTTGCCTGTACCTGAGGTGATTTTAGAGGGTCTGTTTCGTTGATGTGAGAGTGTGGTGAAGGGGGATATATATATTTATATATATATACTTTTTATAGATAATGTCCTTATGTTAAATTTTTTGGTGGTGAGGATATGTCAAAGTTAATTGGCTGTGTACCATTTTTGTTTGATTTTGTTTGTGGGTAAAGTGTTTATTGTTGTAAATATGCAATGGAAGATCAGATTTCAATTCTTGTGGATTTTCTGTGAAAAAAATCTTTCTGAATAGATGTAATGATTGTACTAAACACTCACGGTGTTCTGAGGCCAAACGAGATAATGATTCAGAATGGGATTATATTAGGTGTGGTTAGTTTGATAATCCCCGCACACACACACACACACACACACACACACACACACACACACACACACACACACACACACACACACACACACACACACACACACACACACACACACACACACACACACACACACACACACACACACACACACATACATATACATACATATATACACATACATATATACACATGCACATTTACATACACTCACATATAACTATAGCACTAGGTACACATATTGATATTGATATAAAGATATGAATATAATGGTATGCTTACTTGTTCATTTTTATATGTTTATATGTACACACACATACATCTGTATTTATATTTATATTTTTATTTTTATTTATATTTACATTTACATTTACAATTCCAATAGAAAATAGAGACTTACTTCAAACATATACATAAGTATATTTATGCTCATATAGTATATTTGATCTAAATCATATTTGCCATTCTATGTAAAATTGTATATATTTTGGTCATTCTATCATACAAATACACTTTGGTTTCAAGTAGGTATTATATAGGGCAGATAAACCCATCATTTGTTTTTGTTGCTAAGGCCTAAATATAATCATTTGTACCCCATAGAAAGAATAATGCACTTTATAGAGAAATACCATATGTGATTTATTTTTTATGATTTCTTAAATGTTTTCACAGGTGTATATTAATTTCTATTTACCTCTTTCCTCGCAGTGTAAAGCTGGCTCTTTTGCTCTCCACAATGCTATATGCTCAGCTTTAATTAACCAAAAATATGCTATGGGTTGCTCCAAAATACCTGAAAATGCTTCTGAAGTTTTCAAAATTTCCTCGGGTCGAGCTATGATTCTCCTCACAAGTTTGAGCTTGTGGTCTCACCCTTTATTTTTATTCAGTGTTAATTGTAGGTCTCATTTATTTTCCAGATACCGAAATGCTTGCAGATTCGATCGGTGACCAAAGGACTTATTTCATACGCAGAGTCTCTTGAGATGAAGCAGTGCCGTAGGGCTGCCCACGCTTGCATTTGGGCACCTCATCCAGGGTTTACAAATTTTGGGGAATGTAGAGCTGCGATCATGGTAGGTTGTTGGTGTTTGGAGTCATTTTAGGACTAGGGATGGAATGGGAGTGGACACAAATAGAATATTTCAAGTTTTGTGCACACATAAAGCTCTGAACTGTCCCATAGAAGATCAGGGATTGTCATCAGAGGCCTTATGAAAATTTGTCTAATAATGTTTTGTTTTTTAATATATATATATAGGTTGAAGGGAAATTCATATGTACCATATATTCTACTTGAAGTTCTAATTCATAAATTCCACCCACGCACCCACCAAAAACAACAAAGAAATGGCATATGATTGAAGCCATACTTTATTTCCCCATCTTCGCAACAGATGCACCTTCGCTTTGATGGCACCTTTGGCTTCCCAGGTGGTCTTATAGAGGATGGGGAGGATGTTATTGACGGCCTTAATAGAGAAATGGCTGAAGAAATTGGTTGGAATCCAGCGGTCCGTCCCATTACTTGGTCAGATTACTATAGTACTCAGGTATGTTAACTGTTTTGTGCATGCGTATGAGTGTGTGAGTGCTGTGTGTGTATATGTTATATACACATTAACACACATGTGCATGTATGTATGTGAGAGAGACAGACACACAGACCGATAGACAGACAGACAGACAGACAGACAGACACAGGATGGAGAGAGAGTGAGAGTAGGAGTAAGGATGTTTATATTATTTCTTTTTTTTTTTTTTTTTTTTTTTTTTCTTTCTTTTTTACACAAGTAATTTATTGCTCTTTTTTCTGTGATAGTTGTGAAGATACTTTTGTTTGTATGTACAGTATCAGCAGGCAAAAGTTTTCTCAGAAGTTCATTTATGATACTACCCTCGGCATTATAACTCAAAAGATGTGTTTGTTTAATTGTACATATTTTAAGGGGATAACATATACGAAAAGAGGATTAAGAGCAAAAAAGCAGATTTAAGGAGCAGGAAGGAATATGAAAATGAAGGAAGAAAAAGAAAAACCTTTCAAATAATTGTTCCAAAAAAAGAATTGTTTAGGTTCCATTACTATTTATTTCCTAATTATCATGGTCTGTCTTTGATTTTTTTTTTTATTGATTATGCTCCATGATATTGTACGAATTAAGAAGCTATTTGTGGTATCTGGACAAAATTGTAGTTGGCTGTTTGTGGTATTCTTGATGGTCATTATTACTCAAGTAATAGATTAAATTTAAAAAGTTAACAATTCTATTATGGTGATTTTCTTGATCATACATGTATTAGTCTTTTTTCCTTCTTTGGATATTTTTGCTTTATTATTCTTCGTTATTTTGCTGTTAAGATATTAAGTGGGATTAAAAATTATTTATATATTTAGGAGATTCTTAAATTTCATTGTACCTTAACTAATGTATTTGATATTAATGTTTTCTGATGATATTGCAGCTAGAAACAAGAAAGAATATGGTTCTGCACTTCTTCATTGTTCAGATAACGCTGGAGCAGTTCACAGAGCTTGAAAAGAATTGTGTCTTAGCTCCAGAGTATGGAAATGAGGTGAGACTTCCATATCTCTAAGTATTTATCTTTTTTTTGTCTTTTTTGTTTTCTTTTTTCTTTCTCTTTTTCTTCTTGTTCCTCATTTCTTCTTCTCCTTCTCCTTCTTCTCTTCCTCCTCCTCCTCCACCTCCTTCTCTTTCTCCTTCTTCTTCTTCTCCTTCTTTTCCTCCTCCTCCTCCTCCTCCTCCACCTCCTTCTCTTTCTCCTTCTTCTTCTTCTCCTTCTTTTTCCTCCTCCTCCTCTTCCTCCTCTTTCCCTCCTCCTTCTCCCCTCTCCTCTCCTCCACCTCCTCCTCCTCCTCCTCCTCCTCCTCCTCCTCCTCTCCTCCTCCTCCTCCTCCTCCTCCTCCTCCTCCTCCTCTCCTCCTCCTTCTCTCCCCTCTTCTCTCTCCTCCTCCCTCCTCTCTTCTACTCCTCTCCTTCTCTTCTCTCCTCCCTTCCTCCTCCTCCTTCTCTTCCTCCTCCTTTCCTCCTCTTCCTCTTTCTCTTCCTCCTCTTCTCCTCCTCCTCTTCTCCTCCTCCTCCTCCTCCCCTCCTTGTCCTCCTTCTCTTCCTCCTCCTTCTCTCCTCCTCCTTACTCTCCTCCTCCTCCCCCCCCCTTCTCCTTCTCCTCCCTCTCTTCCCCTCCTCCTCCTCTCCTCCTCCTTCTCCTTCTCCTCCCCCTCCTTCCCTCTTCTCTCCTTCTTCTCCCCATCTCTTTCCTCCTCCTCCTCCTTCTCTTCCTCCTCTCCCTTCTCCTCCTCTCCTCCTTCTCTTCTCCTCCTCCCTCCTCCTCCTCCTCCTCCTCCTCCTCCTCCTCCTCCTCCCTCTTCCTCCCCCCTTCTTCTCCTCCCCCTTCTCTTCCTCCCTCCTCTCTTCCTTATCTCCTCTTTTTTCCTCCTCCTTCTCTTCTCTCCTCCTCTTCCTCCTCCTCCTCCTCCTCCTCCTCCTCCTCCTCCACCTCCCTCCTCTCCTCCTCCTCCTCCTCCTCCTCCTCCTCCTCCTCCCTCCTCCTCCTCCTCCCCCCTTCTTCTCCTCCCCCTTCTCTTCTCTCCTCCTCCTCTTCTCTTTCTCTTCCTCCTCCTTTCCTCTCTTCCTCTCCTCTCTCTCCTCCTCCTCCTTCTCTTCCCCCTCCTCTCCTTCTCTTCCTCATCCTCCTTCCTCTCCTCATCCTCATCCTCATCCTCCACTTCCTCCTCCTCCTTCTTCTTCTTCTTTTTTTTCTTCTTCTTCTCCTTCTCTTTCTTCCTCTCTTTCTTCTTCTATTAACTTTATGTTCCTCATTTTTCTACTGATATGTCATTATGCTAGTCTTCTCATTTTGATGTTGGCTTTGATGTGTAATTTGTATTTTTACGGATATAAGATTAATTGAATGGTTAATCACCCCATTCATTCCTAAATATATTCATTTGTCTTTGCTCTCAGTTAGGGATTTGATGTCCATGTGTTTCCATGCTGAATAAGTTCAGCTTTCCCCTATTGGGCAACATTGCATGCCAGAGAGGGAAAAAAATAAATGGTTTTGAAGTTTTGTTTATGTATGATATTAATAATGCTTTTACTGATGGCAGAATTGAAGTTTGTGAGTCATGTACAAACTTCTGTTGTGAGATTTTGGTTCTACAGGGAGGTGCACAGAATCATGCCTTTAATTGTTTTTCTCTTTTTTGCAGGTTTTTGGAACCATTCGTGTTCCTCTCTACACAATGGCCAATGAATACAGTGGGTTACCAGCTTTCCTTAACAATAAGTTCATTGGTATTGCAAAGCAGCAGCTTCTGTTAGCTCTGTATCAGCAGAAGATTATGCCAGAATCAGAAATTACCGAAGTGTTGTATAAGAGCCAAAACTACAAGTTAGCTCCGAGTAGGGTCTAGAGGTGAGTTGCAGAATAATTAATTTATTTATTTATTTTACTTATTTTTATTGTATTT